CATTTAAGGTTATTTTTTGCTTTTTTAAAACGTGGTTTTTTAGATTAATTTTTTAATCTACTATAATTTTTTTATGATGTTCACGATTTGTAACAGCCCTGGCAAACACCTTCTCATGATGAAATCACCGTCAAATTTTGCTCAATTTTCAGCCTTTGTGATCCACGTGTTTATTAAAACAGGCCTTGAAATGTTCAGTTTTTAAATTTTGAAGCAACCGGCCTCAGAACAGCAACAGCAATAACAAGCTCATCCGCGCGGAACCGTGTTAATCGTCGTATATGCGAAGGAGTTTGTCTGGATTTATTTACTGTATATACAAGCTCCATTTACCACTTGTCAGTGTTCATTGCGTTAAGGAGGAAAGTTCCTTAAAATAAGAAAATTTAAGAGGTTAAAATGGAAGGGATTAATATATTTTGACAAATAAATCAATGCAACTCTGCAAACTTTGTCTGACAACATGCTTCATAAATGAATGATGATGAAGGATGTGTGTGGTCCTATGATGATCAACTGAAGTGAACTTATCAATTAAAGAACCTTCATTCATTTTGAGAAGGGGGTTAAATCTTATTTCTCAGTCCCAAAATTGTGACATTTGCAGGACGGCTGCCCAACATAAGGTTCCAAAAATATCCCCACAATTGGTTTAATATTGAAAAATTCTCCACAAAAACTTGCAATTTATCCCTTTCTGTCAAGATGCTCTAGAAAGTCTGCGGTTTTTCTAATGCTCTCTGACCCTGTCTACTTGATTTGGTAAAATAAAGGTTGCAGTTTTTATGGAGAAGAAAAATTGTCTGAAAAATAATTTCCGCTGTCAGAAAATCTTTCGTTTGATCGAAGCAATTTGAGGAAAAATTTGTACTTCCTACTTCTATAAAATTACAGACTTTTTTTTACTCATTACTTCTGGTCGCTAGGACGGAATAATTTTCTAGTTATTTTTTCATAAAACTCTTTGATAGTCTGTTGAAGTTCGGAAGAATGTTGAGCAAAAACGAAAATTGGTACCTTTAGTATTTGAACCTACTTCCGAAAAAAAATAGATGACTATTCTTTTCTGAAGTCATGAGGAGAAGTGCTGAAGTTGACAATAATTGAAAATTGTCTACTTCCTTCACATAGCTTTTGTCACGTTTTGAGACATTTCAAATTAAGAAAAGTGTGCTATTCGAAGAAGTAGTTTTCTGTTTACCTCGTTTCTCTGGAAACTGAATAACCATAGCACTCTCTCCTGTAAGTAATTCCCAAAATGAGTCTTCCTTGATATCCCCTGTCTTCAATTGGCATTCCTTTGCCATTGTCATTTTTTCAATGTACGTATTTCTATTTATACTCGAATCATTCGTACAATTATTTGCGGCCATCTCAGCTCGGAAGAATTCTCAAAACGATGCGTCAAATTTTTTTCAAAAATGTTCATCACAAATCTTCGTATCGTCAGCTATAAATTTTGTCGTTCTCCTCCTTTCGAAACAATGCTTACCCAGAAAATTAAAATTGTCCCTTCAGTATCTGAACCTACTTTCGAAACTGTAGTCCACTTGCATTGGTGGGAAATGGAAACAAAAATCGTTCAAGTAAAGTGATGAAGTACTGTACGTTTTTCAGGAGCTTTCGAAATCCATAAGAGAGGATGCAAAGAAGTGGAAAATGCCGCACGGGGCACATCCGGTTCGGCTGTTCGCCACGGATTCTTCGGAAGTGGACCTCACGAATTCCACTTGCATGCGGGCTACCGATGACGGTAATTCATTTCTCATCTCGACAGCAAACCCCAATTGGCCCCGGTAACGAATCTTGGACGAGTCGAAGCGTGGTTAATTTGTCTTCGGGTTTTCTTCGCTCGGAAGTTTTTCAGACGTTGAAGAATACCGGCTGTGTTTTTGTTTTTTTTTGTTTTCTTAAGCTAAAGACGCAAAAGGGTTTGTGGGATGTTTGGTCCCTCTTTCCGACCGGTATTTTTAATTTCGAAACAATATTAAAAGCTAAATGAGAGCGAAATACATATAAAAGAGTCCCTCCAAATTATTTCCGGATACCTTATTAGCTTGATTGTTAGGCGCACCTTTTTCCTAAAACTTGGAAAAAAGGATGATACGATTTTCAAAAAAATGTTAATTCACATCCAATACAAGATGAGAACTTATAAAAACTGTCCTTAACAAAAATTTAGTTTTGTTGACCTTTAAATAGCTTAAGTTCAACTTAGGTACAGGTTTAAATTTAGACAACAGAGAATAAACACAAATATTTCAGTTTTTCAATCACTAAAAATGGGATTCGAGGCTTGGGGGCTTTTCTTTAAAAATGGGGTGGAAAACTTGGGTGTTACCTGAGGGCGCGGGGTACTCGAATAAATGCGGTTAATTTTCTGTCTTTTTTAAATCAAAATTTTCCCTTCACCTAATTGTATTGTGTCATGGATGATGGGTGAAGAAAATTGGCTACGAATGTATCACCAAAAACCATCGTCATTTCCCTTTGTTTTATCCGACTTCACTCGTTCATTTAGCAAAAATCTACCCACGTCAAAGTTTATTATCCCTTCCAATCACAAAATGTTGTGTGAACTAATATTGAAGTTTGGGATGTGTTACATTGTATACTCGAGGAAGGGACAAGAGAATTGAGAAAGGGGTGATTTATTTTTCTAGGTCCAAGTTGAAAATTTTTTTTATTAATTAAAAATAATGCCCCATCCGTGTTTTAATCCTCTTCAATTTCACTATTCAGTGATTTCTCTCTATAAAAAAAAGCAGGAAAAGGAAGCGAAAATTGAGTTGTTTTTGATGCGATCTATTTTTTTTGGGCCAGAAATCTAATCTCGTGATTGAAGCAGGAATGCTCAGCCATATCCACTAAACTTTACGACCAAAGGTAGCTTCAAACTTCCGCAAAGACCCGCAGTAACTTCAGTAATCGAGTTGCGACTCTAGAACTTTCTCCATCCGGTCTGTATAACATTTTTTTTTATTTATTCGAAAGAGTAAAAGTCCGAAATAAGAACATGTTATGTAGAATTTGCTTCCAATATTTTCCTTTTTGAGCCCACAAATGTTTCCCATCAGAAAATATCAATTCCGGAATACCTATAACTCGACTTTTCTCCATCGACTTCGGATGGACAAGTTTCCCTCGGAATCCCGAAGAAATCTTAATAATTTTGACTGATCAAGAAATATATTAATTTTCTATATTGAACTCAGAAGTGTGGGAATTCTGCAAAATGTATGAGAGAATTTTTTAGACTCAAGAGTACATAGACCTTGCAAAAATCGTAATTAGGACAACGGACGAAGGAAATTGATAAGTTGATGGTAGCCGAATGATATTCATGAAACAGTAGAATTTCATGATAGCCATTCGTTTGGAACCTTAGAAAGGTTTCGTTGTAAACCTAAATTCCTTAAAGCGAAGTTGAAATAACATTGTAACTATGGGACAGGGCTCGAAAAACCAATTTGTTTCAAGCATTGATTTTTTTATAACGATATTCGTTGGAACGGAATTTTAGTGCATTTTGAAAAAAATGTCCAAGACAGATGATGACGCAATATTAATTTTCTGCTTGATATCTTTCCCATCTGGAACATCCCACATTGATTGAACCCGTAGCTTTTTCATGAATATTCTGTTCCAAGCAGAAGCCAAACAGCTTCCGTATTGCAGAATTTTCGACATGATTGAAAATTGTGAAATATTTTTTTGTTTTTTCCGTCACTAGAAGGCCCAAGTAACACGACTAGTGTGCATAACGTGAAACTCTAAGGGTGACCTTCGTGGACGTCGTAACTAGTTTTCTAGACGACGACTGTTCGAACCCGAGTTCGTTCCCCTGAACCTCCTGGTCGAGGTCAAATCAACAGGTGAGACTCTTTCAAGCTCAAGACCCTCGTGCTGTTTATTTTTGTTTTCTCCAGATATCTTAGTGATTCAAGATTAAATTCGAGATACACTATACTGTGATGCTGATTTAAAAAGAGAAGCAAAACTTGGTTCTTTAGATGCAGTAATATTGTCAGATTTTTTTCGCTGACAATTTTATGCTGGCTACACATTCAGCGGGAACCTTCGCGAGATTCCGTTTCGAGCAAGGTTTAGAAAAATTAAATGAATTATCCCCCACCTCAAAATGAGCTGTATCTTAGATTTAAATGGATTTTGCTTCATAAAAGAAGGGATTTTTGGTCATTTGAAGCATTCCATGACTGTGCTTTTTAGATTTCCACCGAAAATACAGTAAGTGCTGGCCGACGCCCATTTTTACGAGACCCTATAAAAACTCGAATCGTATTTCGTGGAGTCAGGAACTTTTAATAGAGTATTCTGAACTTCCTCTCAAGGATGAGTATAAGAATTTGTGAAAATAGATAAATCCTATCAAAAATCTAGGTAGCCGCAAGTTTTCATCATTTTTGAGAGGATATGGCAATGAATTATTTATTTATTTATTTAGGGCTATAACTCGTGGCTGACACGTGTTGGCACCCTCGCGGCACCGATTATCGTCTGAAAGAATAGGACATATATTTAGTAACATTTTATAGCATCTTCTTGAAGCTAATCTTGTTTCAGCGCTGATGTCACTTAATTAAATGTGAAATAAATTACAGGGCGGTTCAAGTTCAGAAGTTCGGAAGCTTTTCTTTTCAAAAGTGCCGAACACTCGTTGATACGATTTTTGGATGCAGAAAAAATCTTTAAAATTTCTGAATATTTGTTTACAAATACTGAATTTATGAATTTCCGAGTTCGATTTTTCCTCAATCTATGAGCTGAGGGTTTGAGATTGTCACGATCATTATCATTTATTTTGTTGATCGAATAATGATATCTTCCAACAAGACCTTAGACCTGGTGTTTAATCACGTCGAATCAGTTGCGCACTTTCATAAACTTAAATAAAATGATTTTTGGAACCACATATGACATGACTTTTCAAATTATTATGCATAGCCAATGTAATTGCAATGAAGACGGGAATTTCGCAAATATGGGATGGTGGCTCAAATTTTCTCGGTTGATATTTTTCGTGAGATTTTTTGCTCGGGAATTGCATCCGGCGGTCTTTTCGTGAATTTTGTCAATAAAAAAAAAAAAAAACGATTCGTCAGGGCTGTATAGAGCGGATATTTCGTACATTTTCTCAAGATTGACGAAGATCAAGGCTGATCGCTGGAATTGATTGAGTGAGTGGTTTTCTACATTTTCCAGGTGAGAGGATCATTATCCCAGATCGTCGCACCTGCGTGGCCACTGGATTGAGCCTGAACGGGGCTCTGTTCATCTCTCCCAAAGAGCATCTGGATGCTTTGGTAAGTGCCTGAGTGAATGAATGAATGAATGAATGAATGAGTGGATACCGATGAAAGAAAGCTTTTCGAATGCGGTAAACGAAGATCCCATTGGGGGGGAGGTGGGGCATTGTCACTCAATATCAGCGCCCTGAACTTGGCCAGCATTTCGCCTTAAATTGACGCCTGGGTTGGACGGGTTTCCGATTTTCCAGACGCCGTTGCAGGAGGTTTACCCCGGACCGCACTACCTGCCGTGACCAAGGAAGGACCTCAGACACTCAAGGGTCCTTGAACGGATGACCGACTGCCAGTGGCTGACCCTTCGGAAGGTCACATAGGTAGGGCATTCAAAAGATTTATATAATTAAAGCGAAAATTAAGGTACAGTATATATCAGAGAAATTCAGAAAAGTTAAGTTGCCTGATGAGTTTGATCAAAATTCAACAATCAGCCGGGCTGCGGCCGAAGTTTGAAGCTCAAATTAAATTTTATTTGGCCATAAACCGCACAGTATTTTACTATTTTAAAATGGTTAATTGTTTTAAGAAGAAAAGTATGATTGCTTTATTTCAGAGAACATACGTTTGTTCATGAATAAATTATCATCTTACGCTTGTATTTCTTGTTGTTTTAGCTCATACTTCAGTTAGATTGTTATAATTTTAAAAATTTAAGAAAGAGAAGGTCTGAAATCCGAGAATTGTTTTTCAAATTTCGAAAATAATCCAGTATTTCATTTTTTTAAATAACAGATTTGCTGTGGAAGCACTTGAAATCATCCATCACCTATTTCCCACAAAATTGCAGTCCTGCATTCCTAAAAAAAAAAAAAGCTATGAATTTGGTTATAACGAATTTTTCTCAGGTCTCTGGGGGTTCGTTGCAACGAGATTTTGCAGCGAAGGCACCTACCTGGTCTTTTGCTCAGATACTCAATGTTGCCTTTATTGTCATGGGATTCAATCATTGCGTCTCGCCTTTTTTCGCATCACGCTTCTCACAATTCAAGTTATTTATTTTTGAGGCGTCATGCTCAATAACATGTTTCATAACCTTCCTCTTAGCAACAGCCCCGTCGGCTACTGCCCTTTGGACCTGCAGAAGTAAGCAGCGTGGTCACTTGACGTCATAACCCGGCGCTGCCTTTACTGCCTCGCGACGAACTTATCCAAGCGGAGCCGAGAGTACTCCTTCAAGTAGTTTCACCGACGGATCACTCAAGCAGTAAAGGCTAAATAACCGTCTCAACGCCTTCGAGCTTTAAGAGCTCCCTTTAGGATAGTTAAAGGTGACGCTACTGTCCGATAATTATAGAGCCTTATGTAATAGAGTGTAGCCACTGATTGAAGCGGAATAAAAATACAGTCGATCCCCCCTTTTTTTTTATTGATCAGCAAGCTTTATTTTCTGCTTCTCAGCGTTCCCAAGGTTCAAGCAATGTTTCAACATCCAACCCCCCTCAAACCCCTCCCCACCCAAATTCATCCAAACACATTTGATCACATCAGGATGGAAAATAGAGAAATAAGATGTAAATGAATATCACAAGAAAATAAAATACATCCCAAAATGTACAATTGCACAACTGATGTAAACACATACACTTTCTTCCCCTCCCTGAAAATAAAACAAAATGTCAATAATAAAAATTGCAGCATGAGGTAATTACTGAACCTACATAAAAGCACAAGGTGTTCAGCCTGCTCCCAGAGAAGTTTTAGTTGATTGAACAATTTGGAGAAAATCTTTCATGAGAAATTTTAAAAAGTTGAGTTTATTTTGGTCCTCTGAGATTTTGGAAAGAGTCTTTTCTTTGCATTTTAAGTCCCGAATCATTTTGAAGCTCATTTCTGTAGCTGTGAAATGCTGGGCATGAGAAAAAATTTGACTTTAATCCTCTTGAAGTCAAACTTTGAGAGACAAGCAAAAACATTCTGATCTCCTCTAATATCGATTATCCATGATTGATCTATTATTGTTGAAATCCAACAATGTTGATTCGTCTTAGATCTGAATATTATTTTTAAAATGTGGTTTTCGAATTCAACCAGCTAATTTTGAAGTTATTTGTGAGAACTTCTCCTTTTAATAAAATGTTTTCGTCAACTGTGAATTTTTATACTGTGATCCTCTCAAATAAATGAAACCTTTCTCTATATTCGAACACTAGTCTAAATATACAGTCAACCCTAACCACTGAAAGTTACCTCGGAAGAAATCTTCCTTCTCAGCCCATACTTGAAGTTCGTGACCCCATAATGTTGTGACCTTTTATCTTATTCGTTGCAATCTCCCTGAAATAGTTGCAATTTACCTGCGCTTGTCTCACTCCTCAAAATTCTGCAAAATGATACGTCAGTGCAGAATTTCCCATCTTCTTTGATGAGTTTGCTTTTTTGTTTTACAGTATCTTTAAAATACGTTCGGTAATTTGCATGCGTTTTTGACTTTGGAAAACTGTATCAGATTGGGATAATTTCTGCTTGAGACTTGATAGTAAAATATTTGCGCCGTTTTTTTTTAAATATTTTCAAATGAGGTTATTTTCTCCTGTATATCTACAATTTTTTCAACCGAAGTTAAGTATGGTAAACTGTCAGAGGATATTCTCATGCGATTTCCGGTGTTCCGCATCATTCGCTTCTCCGAATGCAAACTTTATATTCAAATTTCCTCGTCTCTTCGCTGCTGAAAGCATTCCTCGAGGCAACGGAATGTTAAGAAACCCGGAAACTTCAGTTGATCTTCACGAAGCCCTCTTGAAGTTTCTGCATTTGCTCGGGTGCACAGTTTATTTCCTTCATTCCTCTATCCCATGCAGGGTTATTCAACCGGAAGTATTATCTGTACTACTGGTTTGTTCATGGGAACCCGGAAAATGGTACGCGGGATTGCCATGGATTCGAAGATAATTTAGCGTGTAATGTGCTCATGTACGATTTGCAAGATTTAAAAATGTTTTGAAGCAGGGTCTACAGTTTCCCGGATCATGGGTAACAGCGAACAAAATATCGTAGCAAATTAGTGTACAGTAAAGTGCTTCAGTATACTGACCTAAAGAGGGCGATTTACTTCATTAGAGAACCTTCCTCCTGGCTTTTGGTGTGACACGTTTTTTTTGCTGTATATCTGCTGAAAAAGCTCATTTATTGTGCTCTACGAGGCTTTATGGACGAAGAAGCACTCAGAGTTAAAGAAAACTACAGTACTGTACTTCTGATATCAGAAAAATAAACGAAGCCATCATGGTGATCTTCTTAGATTTTTTTCGGGTTTCTTGAAGTTTATTCTAATTCAATGTCACCCGTGTTTCGCGCAGGAGGCAGATTGACCAAAATTTAGCAGCAGATTGGTGAACGTGATGGTTAAAAATGATACTGCACTGTACTTCGAATACAAAGCTCAGTTCAGTTTTTTTTTTTTTTGCATTTGAATACCTCTTTCAGAATAATCTCAATCAACCAGATAAAATCTGATTGACAAATTTTTTGAACCTTCTTGCTGTGCGTCTCTCTTTTGTCATTTTTTTTAAATATGTTATTTGAAAGTAGTGTCTAAAACAGTGTTTCTCAAGATGTGGTCTGCGGACTGGCCCGTTTGCAGATTTTTGTTGCTGGACAAATGGGGCCTGGCGTGATGGACGGCACTGGTTCCTTCCTGGAGTCTGTGAGTTCCCAGGAACTTGCCTACTGGCTGACGGTCACCGACTGGGAAGCCTTCCAGTGTATCCATCCCGTAAGTTTTCGCGTTGATAACTAAAGCGAACATTAAGGTACGGCATATATCAGAAAAATTCAAAAAAGTGAAGTTGACTGAGTTCGATCAAAATTTCGGCACTTTCCTGTTATCTCTGTTCCTCATTCCTAGACTGCACTACCATCCAGACAAATCTTCAGGACGAGTCCATAATCACGACGACTTACCAGAAACTGTGAATTTTATTTTTCCGCATTCTGCTGAAACTGATTTTAGGAGGTGGCTAGGTAAAGTTAGGTTAGGTCAGGTTAAGTTAGTTACAAATATCTAACATAACCTGACCTAACCTAACTTTTCCTAACCGCCTCCCAAAATCAGTTTCAGCAGAAACTCAAAGAAAGCAGAAACTGATTTTGGGAGGCAGTTAGGTGAAGTTAAGTTAGGTCAGGTTAAATTGGTCAGGGGGAAGGTACAGAGATAAGAGGAAAGTAGGTACAGAGATAACAGGAAAGTACTGTAATTTCAACAATCAGCCGGGCTGCGGCCAAAGTTTGAAGCTCAAATTAAATTGCATTTGGCCATAAACTGTAAAGTATTTTACTATTTTAAAATGGTTGCTTTTTTAAGAAGAAAAGTATGATGGCTTTATTTCAGAGAACATCCGGTTGTTCATGAATAAATTATCGTCTTGCACATGTATTTGTTGTTGTTTCAGCTCTCACTTCAGTAAGATTGGTATAATTTTAAAAGTTTAAGGAAGAGAAGGTCTGAAATCAGAGAATTTTTTTTCAAATTTCGAAAATATTCCAATATTTCATTTAAAAACGAATAACATATCTGTTGTGGAAGCACTTTAAATCATCTATCACCTGTTTCCAACAAAATTGCAGTCCAAAAAAATCTATGAATCGGGTTATAATGAATTTTTCTGAGGTCTCTGGGGGTTCGTTGTAAAAGATTTTACTGTATTACGGCGAAGGCACGTAGTCCTTTGCTCTGATACTCAATGTTGCCTTCATTGTCATGGGATTCAATCATTGTGTCTCGCCTTTTTTCGCATCACTCTTATCACAATTCAAGTTATTTATTTTCCTCCGCAGTACGAGTTATTGTACAAAGTATTGGAAGGAGAATCGTTGTCGGGGCAGCCGATGACGGGAAACCTGGACGTCTTCATTCGTCGCACCAGTGAACTGCAGTATTGGGCCGCGACGGAAATACTCGGCTCTCATGAGGAAGTTCATCAAAGTGGCTGCCTAGTGAGTTCGTCATTTCCGATTTATTGGCAGAGTTGCGGAAGCTCGAAATTCTCGAGGGAAATCCTATCAATTTCCACTGCGATGACAGAGATAATTATAGAGCCTTATGTAATAGAGTGTAGCCACTGATTGAAGCGGAATAAAAATACAGTTGATCTCCTTTTTTTTTACTGATCAGCAAGCTTTATTTTCTGCTTCTCAGCATTTCCAAGGTTCAAGTAATGTTCCAACATCCAAACCCCGTCATCCCCTCCCTACCCAATTTCATCCAAACACATTTGATCACATCAGGATGGAAAATAGAGAAATAAGCTGCACATGAATATTACAAGAAAAGAAAATACATCCCAAAATGCACAATTGAACAACTGATGTGAGTGAATACATACACTTTCTTCCCCTCCCTGACGATAAAAAAATGTCAGTAATAAAAAATTGCAGCGTAAGACAATTACTGAACCCAATTTAAAGCACAAGGCTTTCAGCCTGCTCCCAGATAAGTTTTAGTTGATTGAACAATTTGGAGAAAATCTTTGAGGAGAAATTTTAAAAATTTAAGTTTATCCTGGTCTTCTGAGATTTCGGAAAAAGTTTTTTCATTGCATTTTAAGTCCCGAATCATTTTGAAGCTCCTTTCTTTAGCTGTGAAATGCTGGGCATGAGAAAAAATTTGACTTCAATCCTCTTGAAGTCAAACTTTGAGAGACCAGCAAAAGCATTCTAATCTCCTCTAATATCGATTATCCATGATAGATCTATTATTGTTGAAATCCAACGATGTTGATTCGTCTTAGATCTGAATATTATTTTTAAAATGTGGTTTTCGAATTCAACCAGCTAATTTCGAAGTTATTTGTGAGAAATTCTCCTTTTAATAAAAAGTTTTTGTCAACTGTGAATTTTTATACTGTGATCCCCTCAAATAAATGAAACCTTTCTCTATATTCGAACACTACTCTAAATTATACAGTCAACCCTATAACCACTGAAAGTTACCTCGGAAGAAATCTTCCTTCTCAGCCCATACTTGAAGTTCGTGACCCCATAATGTTGTGACCTTTTATCTTATTCGTTGCAATCTCCCTGAAATACTTGCAATTTACCTGCGCTTGTCTCACTCCTAAAAATTCTGCACTGATACGTCAGTGCAGAATTTCCCATCTTCTTTGATGAGTTTTTTTGTTTTGTTTTACAGTACTGTATCTTTAAAATACGTTCGGTAATTTGCATGCGTTTGTGATTGTGGAAAACTGTATCAGATCGGGCTAATTTCCACTTGAGACTTGATAGTCAAAGATTTGCGCCGTTTTTTTTTATATTTTCAAATGATTTTATTTTATCCTGTATATCTACAATTTTTTCAACCGAAGTTAAGTATGGTAAACTGTCAGAGGATATTCTCATGCGATTTCCGGTGTTCCGCATCATTCGCTTCTCCGAATGCAAACTTTATATTCAAATTTCCTCGTCTCTTCGCTGCTGAANTCCTGTATATCTACAATTTTTTCAACCGAAGTTAAGTATGGTAAACTGTCAGAGGATATTCTCATGCGATTTCCGGTGTTCCGCATCATTCGCTTCTCCGAATGCAAACTTTATATTCAAATTTCCTCGTCTCTTCGCTGCTGAAAGCATTCCTCGAGGCAACGGAATGTTAAGAAACCCGGAAACTTCAGTTGATCTTCACGAAGCCCTCTTGAAGTTTCTGCATAACGAGCCCACGTGTCAAATAAAGGAAGTAAGGAGATAGGGTACGTCCCAATAAGTTGGCCTTCATAATAGACATGATGACCAAACAAGTACCCTTGGGCCTTTTACCATGCGCCCTAACGGTACCTATCGAAGACAATTTAGCGTGTAATGTGCTCGTGTACGATTTGCAAGATTTAAAAATGTTTTGAAGCAGGGTCTACTCTACAGTTTCCCGGATCATGGGTAACAGCGAACAAAATATCGTTCCAAATTACAGTACAGTACTTCAGTATACTGACCTATGAAGAGGGCGATTTACTTCATTAGAGAACCTTCCTCCTGGCTTTTGGTGTGACACGTTTTTTTGCTGTATATCTGCTGAAAAAGCTCATTTATTGTGCTCTACGAGGCTTTATGGACGAAGAAGCACTCAGAGTTGAAGAAAACTACAGTACTGTACTTCTGATATCAGAAAAATAAACGAAGCCATCATGGTGATCTTCTTAGATTTTTTTCGGGTTTCTTGAAGTTTCTTTTAATTCAATGTCACCCGTGTTTCGCGCAAGAGGCAGATTGAACAAAATTTAGCAGCAGATTGGTGAACGTGATGGTTAAAAATGATACTGCACCGTACTTCGAATGCAAAGCTCAGTTCAGTTTTTTTTTTGCATTTGAATACCTATTTCAGAATAATCTTAATCAACCAGATAAAATCTGATTGACAAATTTTTCGAACCTTCTTGCTGTGCGTCTCTCTTTTGTCATTTTTTTTAAATATGTTATTTGAAAGTAGTGTCTAAAACAGTGTTTCTCAAGATGTGGTCTGCGGACTGGCCCGTTTGCAGATTTTTGTTGCTGGTCCGCGGGAAATTTTTTTCTGCATAATAAATGCATCAAAAGTAGGAATGAAGTGTGATATCTCAAGGTGAAATGTTGGAAAGACGATGGCTGTTGGAATTACAGTACTGTATCTGATGGAAAAAATGTAGGCCTTTTCCATAATAATGCTTCAGACGAAATTTTCATCTGCTGAAATGAAGTACACCATTATTTTAATTTTTAAGTAGGCAAACAGTGACTTTAAAAGCCTTGTTTCTAAATGTACATGAATGATTTCATTTCTGCAACAGGTATTCATTAGTTTTAATTTCTTCTCTGAAATCGTGGCTGTAATAATCGTGATTGAAGCATTCATTATTTTGCATATTTTTTTCTCTAAAATCGCAGCTGCCAGGAATACGGAAACGTGAACGGGGCCCTGGCCATAGTGAGCGGACTGTCAACCCCGGCCATTTCCCGACTGAACCACACCTGGGAGAAGTTGCCCACGCGGATCCGGAAAGTTTTCGGGGAGCTGGAGGGTCTCACGGACCCGTCGCGGAACCACCGCCGGTACCGGATGTACGTCGGCACCCTCAAGCCGCCCGTGATTCCCTACATGCCCATTCTGCTCAAAGGTCCGTCCCTGTTTATCATTCCAGTCTAATTCATTCAATCCCTTGGGAACAGGGCCGGCAAACGAACGAACGAGCCCTTGAATACAAACAATAGTTACATTAACAGTGGACCCTCATGGAGTAAAGTAGACGAACACCGACTTCTAGATAAACTTCTTGGTGGCTTACGTCTATTGTCCTCACAAAAAAAGAAATCCCTCAATTAACTGACCAAAATTCAGTTTCCAAACTTATGTTCCAAGCGAAGTTTACAAATTTTATCAAATTTAGATTTTATTGCATAATAGAGGCATTTTTGCTTGAACATTTTTTTTTTATAAATCTTGGATAAATTCCTTGACCAATAGGGTGCAAGGAATTCAGAAAAACTTCAGGACACTGTTGAATGTGAATCATAGAATTTCGCAATAATATAGTACACCTTTAACTCTATCTTTAATAATATTATTGTGGGCGATCCAGAACTGTAAAAAATGCGTCAGGAAATTATATCCGAACACTATATTGTTGAAAATAATCCATTCATCCACATCTTTCAAATCAAGAATCGTCGAAGAAAAAGAAAAATTCCGTGGGCCCTCGCTTACCAAACACGTCATTGAAGTTGCTTTTCGGTTAACAAACTTTTATCTTGAACCAATTACGTCAGTTAACCAAGAATTCCTATTTACGGTACTCTATTCGTGTATGTGCTAGACCAAAAAATGCGTTAACCGACGTGAAAAAAAGACAGCTAAACAGGCCTGTTATTGAACTGAATGAGTCGTCGAAACATTTAGACAAGACCTACATTCTAACAGAGAAAGTATAACAAACTTCGATTATAGGCGGAAATAAGAACTGATGTATTTTTTAAACTCAGATCATTTATTTTTTTATTGAAGTAGGTTTCGGTGACAAAGTTTCGAACAATCAGAACCTAGCAGGGTTTCGAATGCTTGAGGTGAATGGGTTAGTTTTAAATGAGGAAACAGTTGTAGGATACCCAAAAGTGCGCAATTCTACGGAATGAGCGGAAGCAGGAAAAAGGCAAACCTTCGCCGCCGTCGTCGTGATATCCGGAAACGGAAATGAAGGCCTTCTTTTCGTAGAGAATATAATTGGCTCCGAGTTCTGGGCTACTGGGATTCCAACAGAATTTTCATTTCCGAAGTTCTTGTCCGGATTCAAATTAAAACTAAAAACATAACTGACATTCGCTCCTGTTCGGAGAATTGTCCTGAAATTGTGCTTTCGAAAGATGAACCATCGTTTAAATTTTTTTTTTCATCACGTTCAACCTTTTTGTCGGCGCTGAAAGTCTTACGAAATTATCAGAGCTAATCCTGTCTGAATTTTCTTCGGGGAGTTGAATCGGACTGTTCTCATTTCAAAGCTGCTGTACAGTACCTCAAATGTATTCCTGCCTTTGGGCTATAATTTTGAGGGGGGGAAAGGAAATGGAAGACCAATAAAAATAGACTAAGATTCTTGTCAACCAGCAAGAAGTGAATGATCACACATTATTCCATAGGAAGGAATGCATTTCTGTTTATCTTTGTAATGCTCAAGAGTCAAAACAAAAAGAAAAACTTGGAAAAAATTTGTCCGGCGAACTCGTGCATCGATCCTCGTGATTTGTCACAGACACCGGAAGGGATTTTCGTTCGTCGCGGACATTTGTTTGTCGCGTTTTTGCTTGAGTTCCCGACGGGGAAAAGAAGGGGGGTTTCCCCTCGAACACGTCTGATCGGGTTACTTCTGCCTCCACAGACATGACTTTCTCGCACGAAGGCAACCAGACCCTCCTTGACAGCTTGGTGAACTTCGAGAAGATGCACTTGCTGGCGCAGAGTTTAAGGATGATGCGGGCTTGTCGAGCCCGGAGCTGGGGTACGTACTCTGAATGGGAAGTCGAAAATACTGTACCCCTGGAGATGAGGATCAGTCCCTGTGACGAGAATAATAACCCGGGAAACGGGGTTCCGTCATTTGAGGAATTTTGTCTCATCTTCACAGCAACAGAAGTCTGAATTTCGTATTGAGTGAACCTGAATAACTAGAAATTCCCCAAGTCGATTTTTATTTTCAAATCCCTGTTTAAATACCCTTAGAAACAATTATGCATCAAATACCTCCCTAACTCGAAGTTTTCCCCATCAAACTAATTTTTCGGAGGCATTTTCGCTACTATTTTGTTGACACAGGAAAGAGAAAAGCAATAACGAATGTAATATGACGTGTTTTAAGAGGAAATGAAAAAATAATTGGGAAAATGAACCCTTGCCTCAAACTTCAGCATCCTGTCAAGTTATTAAAAAAGCAATTGAAGGCCCAGAATATCACCAATTCGGATTTCCCGTAGTTCTTGCTTTTCCGAAAAAAAAAAAAAAAAGATTTTTCCCTTATTCGATTTTTTCTGGTCCCTTGAAATTCGACTTCAAGTGGTCCGACTGTATTTCCTTCAATTGATGTTACTGCATCTACAATAAATGATGTGGGGCATTTAATTTCCTCTTTGGAAATAAAAATTCACTGTCAGTTGAGGAATTTGAATGAATTATTTGTACTTATTCATAATTGCAGAAATACCACCGCCGCCGTCGACAAAATCGGAAGCTGAAGTGCGATCTTACGTGACGTCACTTCACGTCATCGACTGCGAGCGCATTCTCAATCAAATGTCTCAACGTGTCGAACCGAGAAGATGACGAGACAGACGTTGTGCAGTGAACGACATCTACCAAAAGTAGCAAATAACATATTCGCAGAGTTTCGACGAAGAAACCTGGAGGAGGGGGTACAGCTACAGCTTTCCGCGCCGGAGGACGATTGAGGAGCTAGATTGTTGGACTTGAGGAAAGTGCTGTTTTCAAAGCTCAGAATTTTTCAAAAATTGGATGGACAGAAACGACTTTGCTGTGATTCGACGAATGAAATTTTTAGGGATACAAATGATGCGGTTTGCATTTTTTTTGTGAACATCGCGTCTGTTATTGTCGCTTTAATGAGTGAAAGTTGTTTTTTGTGTGCCTCCATTGCGCGCGAATGTTCCTTGATCGTTGGTACCTGTTCCGTAAGTGTGCTTCGTTTTATCCCCTTTTAAATACCTGAAGACGACTTTAGATACGCTAAAAGGAAAGATTGAATCATATCTCAAGATTGGCCGAATTTGAACGTTCGTTGCTGAGAAAGAAGCAGTTGTGTACATATCTTTACAGCAACTCGATATAATTTTGAACCTCGTGTGTTACGTGTACCGTGTTTTTATTTTCCTTTTTTATTTCCGAAAAAGTGAAGTTTTTTCCGGCGACTATCATATAGATGAATCGCGGAAAATGGGCATTTCGATTATGGGTGATTCGTTGATGTGCTTTGCGGTTATATTTGAACCTCAAATGAGTCTATTTTGAACGGTCCTTTACACGTGTGATGCACGTGTGATGTGTATAAAATAGTTGTTTGATGCGAGGATCGGAATACCCAAAAAAAACCTGGTGATGATGTCTCCTTCATATTGTTCCTGATGGACCCTTTTTTTTGGAAATTAAAGGCGTATTCTTCCCCTTTTTGTCGTCTTGATTTTATCCATGAAGTAGACGCTGATTTCTCCGTATCAAACTGGCCTCTATACAAGCAACATAATTTAGAAATGCGCAAACATCGAAAGACTGGTATTCTTCACTTCTTTGCATTTTCTAATTGAAATTGGATTCTTTGAGTCGTTGAGACTTTTTCAAAATGCTCCCCAACCACAACAGAAATCGAGAAAAATGATTTTAGCGAGCCAAGTCATATTTTGCTCGTGTGCTTCTTTGATTGTAGCTCCGTTTTAGTCAATGTTTGTGATCAGCATTGCTAATAACAAAACTGCCCGAATCAGTGCATATTCTAATTGGAACATGGTCGACAGTTTTGGGAAATCGTTACGAAAAACTGTATATTTAATTTCTATGGTATATTACGTCGCAGGATTTAAATTACTGTTGAATTTCCAGAAACAGCAAGTGTAACAAAGGTAATTATTTTCTTCATTGATTTTTTCAGCGTCACCATCAGCATATTCTCTTCATTTAAAAAAGTTGTGGGAGCAAACATTTGAATGGAGTTCGAGGAATGATAAATGCGCAGATCAGTCAGTACAAATCACATTCATCGTCATTCAGTTGAAAATATCAATGCCACGAAATAAACAAAAACAAATGAAACTTGCAATCGGGGATACTTGCGAACATCCTTCTCTTTGCCACATTTTCTTGAAGCCAATTGAAATAAGAAATTTAATGAAATTCCTTCTTTCGCTTTTGTCACAAAAATCGCACCGCAGTTTACAATGAAACATGCAGCAAAACATGTGCGCCCGAGACAAAAAATTAAAAACTAAATAAATTATATCAACGCTATATAATTTCAAAGTGCTATACACGCGGAAAAACGAAATGTTTCCCCAAAAAATAAAACAGTAAGCAAGTTTCATGCAGTTTTCAAATTACACAGTCATCAGATGCATGCAGAATAAATGCTGATTAGTTTTAAAATTTATGAATCCAACGTGTGACTAAAACGTGGCTTTTTGCAAGGCAGGATTCGAAAGACCAGTCACCAGTGTGATTTATCCAGAATGTCGAAGCCCATTTGTTGGTATCTTGTAAAAAGAATTTGTCCCCACGAGACCGATACTTCTGTCAATGATGGAGGAACGACGAGCAGGTGTTCCTCGTTCTCATTAAACTTTTTCAGTGCTTCCCCACCTGCTTCAATCATTCAAACTCATTCGCCTCGTTTCGAAGATAGAAATGTTGAGCTTCATTTCGACCACACCCACACATACTACGATCTATTTATATGGTTGAGTCGCAGGAAATGGGGCGAAGTTGACATATCTTTCATACTTTTCTCTCAATATTCTCATCAGTCCCCGAAATCTAGATTGTACTTGAAAAAAAAGGTAAAAAATATTCCATAACCCGCTGTTTCCCGCTTATATATGAAATTATGAAGTTTTCCGAGTTGATCTCATGAACAGCACACGTGAAATCTGACTACAAACAAGCTTGCGCCCATGACTTCCGAAAAAAAATTCTCCGGAAGAGAATTTATTGCAACTAATCAGAATAATTTTACTGTATTGTACTTCTAATCCCAAGGAAGGTTCCAATGCATAAACTTCCACATTTCAGAAAGCAAGGCCAAGTATAAAATTAGCGTTTCATCAGGCTTTTGTATTTTGAGTGTTATTGAATGGATGGATGAACGTAATTTTTTTTAAAGTAATATTTGATTGTTTTTAATCTCTGTTTGGCATTAATGATTACCCAACACATTTTAAGGCTTTTGGAATTTTATGCCAGTCTTAGCAATAGCGGATTTTTAAAATCTTTTTTGAAGGATTGAACTATCTCATGCTAGACATAAAACAAAGCAGATACTGTAAAGAAACGGAAACTATTTTTGCGCAGAAAAATCAGAGGGAAATCTCCTAGAAAGGAGGAAATACCAGGGTTGGTTCATGATAAACTGCCCCTTGCCATCATTGGAGGCAGATGCAATTTTTTCTTTTACTCTTTCAATGAATGAATGAATGACCAGGACACTTTATTTGCTGCTTTTCAGCATTCACAATGGTTTAATCAAGATTTCCACATCCAAACCCCCTCCCCAACCAACCCAAACTCTTCGATTATTTTACTCTTCAATTCTCCATTTATTGGTGATTGTATTTTGAGTGTTATTGAATGGATGGATGAACGTAATTTTTTTTAAAGTAATATTTGATTGTTTTTAATCTCTGTTTGGCATTAATGATTACCCAACACATTTTAAGGCTTTTGGAATTTTATGTCAGTCTTAGCAACAGCGGATTTTAAAAATCTTTTTCAAAAGATTGAACTATCTCATGCTAGACATAAAGCAAAGCAGATACTGTAAAGAAACGGAAGCTATTTTTCGCAGAAAAATCAGAGGGAAATCACCTAAAAATGAGAAAATACCAGGGTTGATTCATGACTTCATGAGTGATGATGAACTGCCACTTGCCGAAATTGGAGGCGGATGCAATTTTTTCTTCTACTCTTTGAATGAATGAATGAATGAATGAACAGGACACTTTATTTGCTGCTTTTCAGCATTCACAATGGTTTAATCAAGATTTCCACATCCAAACCCCCTCCCCAACCAACCCAAACTCTTCGATTATTTTACTCTTCAATTCTCCATTTATTGGTGTCTAATACATTTTCCATAGACTGTTCAGCTACAGGTACCTTATTCGCAGCACGGAGAACCACCAGCAGCAGCAGGATATCGAGCCGTGGCGCCGTTTTTTTGGCGCGGTTTTCAGTGGCGCACTATAGCATACGGGAAAGTCATGCAGAGTTTATATACGCGGAGTCGGTGAAAAAGAGTAGCGGCGAAGACACCGCGGAGTGATTCAAGAAATGCTGTCGAGGCACTCGTCAGTCACGCTTTTTGCCCGTCATGTTTACGAAACCCCGAGTATATACGTGTGTGTGTGTAGGAAGAACATTTTTTGAGGTGAGGAAATTGAAATGAAGAAGAAGAAAAAAAGAGAATAAAGTCGACGGAAGTCCTGGCGAGATTCCACCGCCTGTGCCACCGAAAAAGAAAGCCTCACGCGTGGCACGAGACATTGGTGTATAATCGCGGCTCAGTCGCAGTTCATGAAGTGATCTCACTATATAGCAGCACCCTCTGTTTTATTTTTTCAAATGTTTTTCTTTTCCAGAATTTGTTTCGTTACACTCGAGTCTGAAAGAGAGAAATAAATGCAGATTTATAACTGGTTATTCTTCTTTGGACTCACGCAGGGGAATTCCTCTCGTCAGGTCGAGATAATTTTTGAGTCAAAGCGTGCATTACGAGCTTGTCAACTCGCTCTATACACGGTCTTTTTCTTTTTTTGCAAAACGCAATTTTTAAAATTTAATTGACTGCAGGGTATATAGTGCATTGGATAGTTGATTGGGTCTTTTGTTTGACTTGCTTCAAAAATGTTGTCTACTCAACAAGCTGCAGAAAATATCTGAGCAGAATCCTAAAATAACGTGTCGATTTTTATTTTCTGTGTGGTTCGAAAATTTCTTTGTTCCTAGCTTTATTTTGGGTCATTTTTAAAAAGGAAAAGATACTATACGACTGACTTTCACAAGTTGCTTACTTTTCTAGAGAAAAGTAAGCAAACTTTTGGAGGCCGTGAAAAGTTTCACTTTCTTGTGTCTTTCTGCAAAAGCATAACCTTTTGAGTGCTGACTGAAGTTTTTTTTGACAGTACTGCATACAGTACTGTAATCCCATTTTTTAAATATTGAGCAGAATAGGAATTATCCGTCGTGAAAGAGAATTCACAGAATTCTCGAGGAAATGAAATCTGGCTCATCAGTCAACTTGCAAACATGCTTTGCAACATTTTCAAATTTTGCCCTACAGATGCTGCAAAACCGTTGTTAATGTCTTCGTTTTTGTCAAGCTTTGTTTCTCGCCTAAATTATAAAGACACTGTTTATAATGCATCAACAATTTTTCTCCGTTTAAGGAAGAAGGATTTAGGAATGCTAAAAGCGAAGATAATGGCGTTTCCCCTCTGGTGAAAAACACATGTTTTTTTTCAACAATGCATCCCAGCTGAAAATTTGAAACATTCTGGAAATTCTGAAATGTATGACAACTTCTGCTTGACGATAATCCGATAATAACTACCTTATAAGTTTAAAAACAAATATAAGAGGAAATTTTCTGTCTTGGTGCATTATTTAAAAATGTTCAACGCTTATTTCTTCAGAAGTTTTTTGCATGAAGTGTCTACTATCGCATACCTTACGATTCCTTTGCCAAAAAATTCACGGAGGAATCCAAATTGAATGATTTTTTGTAGAATTTTCAATTAACATAGACCATGGCCATCGAAGATCTCCTGTTTTGTGCCTCGAAAATGATATAACGTAATTTACTTTGGAAATGCTTAGTTTCACGTTTTCAATAGATCGGAAAAGTATGTTCTTTCTACTTGTGTTTCAGTTACTTTTACCAGACGAATCGCATCGAACAATAGAAAATTTGAAAGTTTGCGCTTATTCGAGCGCAACTAGTTAAGGTCGAAAAAATTTGTTTCATGAAAAGTAAAAAAAAAAATAATTGTTATTCGAATGATGGTTCGTTGATTAGAAAAAATTATACAATTTAACTGCGGGTCAAACACGACATGTCACTAAGACGTTATCTGATAAATACCTTGATTTTATGAAACTTAATTCCATGTAAGAACGGAGTTCGAGGGAATGCGGGTAATATTTTTGAATGGATTACAAATTTCCGTCCTTAGTTCCAAAAAGTACCGCAGCTAACCCCTTGATTAGCAAAAAGGTTTTCGGACTTCCTTTCAACTGAAAGAGGTCAGGAGTGCTGTGTGAGTTCTGTGGACCCGTGTGTGTGTGTGTGGGACATTTGTCATGAAGGTCGTGAGAAGTAAAAATGTGGGGAGGCAAAAGAGAAAGCTCAGCGAGGTCGGGTTCGCTTTAAATACTTTTCGGCGGACCACTTGCGTTTAGCGCTGTGATGCTTTTTTGGCAGCGAGACTCGAGAGCCCCACGACGACAGTATCACGCATTTGTCGCCTCGCTCTTCAGTCGCCCCCGAGAGTTTCGTCTTCCTCACCAAGACACAGTTCTCTCAGTTTGGATTGAGGAATTCGAAGAAAAAAAGGTTTTGAATATTGAAAGTTATGCCTGTTCAAACTGGATTGCGCTAATGAGTGAAACGGGAAATCTCGTGGATTTTGCGGGTTATAACCGAAAGCGAGCACTTGGATGTTTAAATGCGTCAGCTCTACACGAAAACTGTTCACGTTCGACAGAAAGAAAACATTTTCTCAAGTCTGTTTGATTTTCAAATCGTAATTGCCTAAAGTTATCCTATGATCGAAGTGGAGAACATTTCTTCGTAGATTTTCGAACGTTCTTGTGTTCATTTAAAAAAAAAAAATTCATCGCTGAAAAAAAATTGTTCATTCCAAGGGGAATAGCTTCTATAAGTGAACCAGAAGATGTCATTAAATATTTCCGAACGACAAGCCATCATGTCAGTCAGTCAGTTTTCGTTAAGATGCCGAAATATTCTCTTGATCGATTTTGAAACGTTCTCGACGTGGGGATTTCGTCAGGAAAATCAAATTTCAAAAGTTATCACTTAATTTAGGTCAAGTTGATAATTTTACTGATAACTGATATTACATATGCTAATTTTCTGGCATGTACATGACCAATCACAGTATTAATTATCAAGATACTGAAATAAATGAGTAAACATTTTTATCGATTGTATTTATAAATCAATCGTATTTCAAGTGACGCTGTGCATAATAGTTTTGTTTTTATTATTCAATTCAATCCTAATTTTTATATGCTGTGTATACTTTTACTCCTGGAAATTGTTTCCCACGAAGAAAATATGTGTGTTTTTATAGTATAATTTGCCCCCGACCCCCCTTAAGGAGAAGCAAATTTCAAGGTGTAACGGTAATTTTATTCTATTACACTGGTTTTTTAAATTAATGAATCTATTTCATTCCACTGACAGCATGTCTATCATCAAAGTGTTGAATCATGTGAAAGTACTTTATAATGCAGTGTTCCCCAACCCATGGTCCATAAACCAGCGCCGGTCCGCAGAAGTTTTTTGCTGGTCTGCAGGACATTTTCTGCTGCATAATAAATTTAAAATAGTGAAAAAACTCTTATTTTTATTCTGAAATGTTGAAAGGATATGGCAGTTGAATTTAAATCTAAAAAAAGTATAAGTTAACTTATCTCTTGACAAAATTTCAGACAAATGTTCACCTGCTCAAATAATTCATTCTATATTTTACGATCTGAGAAACCTTTCTTCAAGCCCACCTTTTTATGTTTATTAAAAAGACATTCCACTTTATAGCTGGTTTATTGGTTCTTAATTTTTGCAAAGAAGAAAGGCACTGTTTAAATGTTTGCCATTGACTCCAGCAAGCAAAACGTTTTTGAGTCTGTAAACATTTTTTGAACCTTTTATGGTCCGCAGAACGTTTTTTTTGGAAATTTGCCAGTTTTTGAAAATTTTAAAGAAAATTTGCCAGTCCATGGACCCAAAAAGGTTGGGGAATACTGGCATAATGAATGTCTATACTGCATATATGCCCCACATGCCTTTGAAATTTTCTTTGGTCATTCTAAAATAATTAGGGAAATACATACCTAAAATATTGTAAAATAGTAGCAACGCATTCATGAAAAAACGAAAACGACGATGCTCAGCGTTATCGAGAAATTCAAAACCTTACTAACTTCGAAATATTTCGAGCATTTTCGTATTCCAGATTGTTCTGAACGAAGAATGATGAAGTTTTTTGTCATCTGAATCTGCGACTGATTCCCGAAATCAAAATTAGTGACAGTCCGAGTTCATTGTTAAAAAAATTAATTATGAGAGTACATTACAGTACTGTAGTTCATCATCCGTGTCTTTTGCTTCAAGGCCGAAATGAATATCAGTGAATCGCCGGAAAATCGAGTGAAACGCATAGAAAGTTGTCTCATTTGATCGCGTAGACTCTCAGACTCGAAATCTCTCAACTGATCAACTGATGATGGCAATAACAAGTGGACGACAAATATTCGGATAAAAAGACGCTATATAGTGATTCCCCCATTTTTTTTATTGCGCGTGACCCAGTGATGCGGACGCTTCTAGTGTTCCTCATCACCATGACTGCGACGATCTTGATGACGATAATTCCCGACGCGGAATCAGCAGCAGACGGCATTTTCCTCACCAGCGAGGAAACTGACCAAATTTCCCGCAACATTTCCGCCTTGTTGGACCGTTTGCTGGATCCGCGAATTTACGACAAGTACCTGCGGCCCGGCAACGGCGTGCACCCGACGACAGTCAAAATCAACATGCATCTCAAAAGCTTGGGCCCGGTGTCCGAGGACGAAAAGTATTACGTGTTGGACTGTTATTTCCGACAGGAATGGAACGACGAGAGACTCAGGTTCGACTTCAAGGGCTTCGAGTCCCTGGCTATGAACTACAAGTTTCTGGAGAAGGTGTGGAAGCCGGATACCTACTTCGTCAATGGCAAGTCAAAATATTTTGGCAATCATACGCGGATTATTCTCAGCATGTTTTCCGTCGTGATTACAGAGAGGGCCGGGAAAAGGGTTCAAGAATTTTTTTTTAGCACTGTGCTAATGCATTTTCTCTATCTTTTTGCGGTTGTTTGAGTTGAAAGATGGAGATGTACGGGTTATTTTTACGTACATTATATACGAGGGTTCTAACAAAAGTTCTCGGAATGAAAATGAAGATGGCGTCTAATCGAGCTGGAAAAAAATTATTCTTTAGGTTAACCATATTCTTTGGCACAAAAAAAATCAGCCCAGTTTGACAATTTTTTTAAATTTTTTGCAAAATTTACCCTGGCAGAGTTTTGCTATACTGAGAAATTTCCAAGCTTGCTTAAAAAAATAAAAGGAACTTGTTGACTTTTGTTAACTTCAAAGAATTCTAAAATTTGGAAAAATGTTAGAGGAGTTAATTTATTTTCAGTATTGTGGCCCTCAGAGGAAGGCTTGTTTCTCAATGTGGCCCTTGACCACTTTTGAGTTGGGCACCACTGGTCTATTCCATCTGTCATTCGTCCAAGGTAACACTCGAATTGGGGCAATAATAATCCACTGCTGATGGCTAAGAAATCTGTCTTTGGAGTAATTTTAAAAATAGACACTGGAGTTGTCTATACTGCCTCTGATCTCTGCCAATTACTCATCCAACGAACAAAGGGAGCATTTTTAGAAATGGGAGGCCTATTCGGTGACAATGACGAAATGCGTCAACATGGCCTTCTTTTGGGTATATAAAGTGTTGGACCAAATAACGAGCAGTCGTGAAACGATTTATCACGAATAAGCGACGTTTTGCAGCTTCCTGGGATTAAATCGAAAGTCTCTGTATAAACTTAATACATAATGATTTCATTTAGGGTTATTTCGACTTGGAGATTTCGTAGGGAATGATGGTGAGTCCTCATTTTTTGAGCATGATTAACTGTACGAGGGTTCTAACAAAAGTTCTCGGAATGAAAATGAAGATGGCGTCTAATCAAGCTGGAAAAAAATTATTCTTTAGGGCAACCATATTCTTTGGCACAAAAAAAAAATCAGCCCAGTTTGACAATTTTTTAAATTTTTTGCAAAATTTTCCCTGGCAGAGTTTTTCCATACACTCAACAGATGAGGCACCCTTCCTGCAGCTTTTTTTTTTTGTGGCCCAGTTTCCCCCTCAGAATTCTTGAAATCAACTTGGCATTTTCTCTAAGGGTTGCCTCCAGGTCATCTAAGGCAATTCCGCCATTTTCATCGACAGCCGCCGTCACAGCCGCCGCCGTCACAGCCGCCAAAGTGGCAGTTTTGCTATACACTCAACAGATGAGGCACCCTTCCTGTAGCTTTTTTTTTGTGGCCCAGTTTCCCCCTCAGAATTCTTGAAATCAACTTGGCATTTTCTCTAAGGGTTGCCTCCAGGTCATCTAAGGCAATTCCGCCATTTTCATCGACAGCCGCTGTCACAGCCGCCGCCGTCACAGCCGCCAAAGTGGCGGCCACTTTTTTTCCAGCTCAAAAGTGGCGGCTGTGACGCCTTGTCAGTGTCAAGTCTGAATTGCTAACTGTGTAATTTTTGCCAGAAAAAAAATTTAATTGACCAAATTTGGTTTTTTTCAACAAGGGAGTTTTGCTTGAGAACAAAAAGTGTGTTAATTGAGAATATTGTGGATCAGGAGTCCATTGCTATAAACTATGAGTTACAGAGAAAGAAAATCAAGTTGATAACTTAAAGACAACAATTCACCTGGGAACAGGGCAGGAGATTCTTTGATAAGAAATCCCAAGAAAGACATGGAAGGTTCATTTCACACAGAAGTCTTCAATTGAGAATGATTAACAAATCTTTCCATTCCAAAACAGACAGCAATTTGATGAGCAGCCATAGACAAGACTGAGCAATAGAAAGACATTATGCCATTCAGGCAGAAAAAAGGGCTGATCCCCAGGAGTTCCTAGGGATCACCTGATGAAGTTGATTTTCTTCTGGGAGCAACTTTCTTTGGTACCAGGGGTGGATTTTTTCCCAACAGTTGCACTCCCAGGCTTTTTTGAAGGGCTAGAAATAAAGTTGTCTGATTGAGACTTTCAAAACATTTACTTGTTTTTTAAAAGCTGTGAGAGGGAGCAATAATTCCATCTTGAATAATGGGATGTGCTGCTGTCCCAACATAATGTTCTCTCTAGACCATTAACTTTTTGAGTGTAGTGTTTTGTTGTTATATCATAAAAACTGGGTTTAACAGGCAACACCAAGATTTACCATGCCAAAGCTTCAAAAATTGATGATGGATGCTTAAGCATGACTTCACACCCAATCCTTGTACTGATAATTTCCTTGAACACTGTGTATTTACTTGAAAACATGAACATTTACTTAAATTTCATTGATTTCTAAATACAATTTATTTTCTGTTGTTCAGTGATTACAAGGTTTGAACAATGTTCCCACATCCAAACTCCCTCCCCTCCCCACCCAAATTCATTTAAACATATTCAATCACATCATGATGAAAATAGAGATATGAGCTGTTTATGGGTACTGAAGAATCCATAAAAAAATGTAAATTCATACTTTGTGTTCCCTTCACTAGATTACAAAAATAAAATATCAGCAATAAAAAGTACATCATATAATGCAATTAACAAACACAAATTAAAGCACAAGGGTTTCAGCCTGTTCCCAGATTATTAATTATATTACGTAATCATTACTTACGTAACACTGTAATTGCCTCCTTTATGTTAGACTAACAGCACAGATGGTTCATTAATAAGGACTCTTTTGATTAAATTTTCGCGCAGGGCGGTTTAATCTTGTATTCCAGCACAGTTACACATCCTGGTGTTCAAACTATGTCAATAAATTCCTTTCTTGAAAGAAATCGAATCGTTTTTTTTTAATGTCTCCATGCAGGCAAGAAGTCCTACATGCACAAGATCACGGTGCCCAACAAACTGCTCCGCCTCAAGAACGACGGGACGATGCTTTACTCGCAACGTCTCACCATAAAGGCCGTGTGTCCCATGCGACTGAAAAAGTTCCCGCTGGACAAGCAGAAATGCCCCCTGGAAATCGCGAGCTTCGGGTACCCGACAGCTGACGTGATGTACCAGTGGCGCGACGGTGGCGTGACGTTTGAGGAAGGCGTGAGTCTCGCCCAGTACGAGTTCATCAATTCCACAGTCACTGAAGGAGTGTCCACGTCGTCGGCTGCAGAGCCCAAATCCGCCTGCTTCGTCGTCTTTCACCTGAAACGCAACACGGGATTTTACTTGCTTCAGGTGAGCATTTGTCGACACATTTTCTAAACTGCCAATCTCCGGAAGAAAGTAAAATAAATAAAAAAAATCCTGAGGGAATGGGAGTGTTTTTGGTCGATGATGAAAAGGCTCTTAAGCCTTATTTGGTACGGTGATGAATGGGCATCTGGTGTAAGTTCAATTCCCCACAAAAGAAAAGCAGGTTCATAATTGAATAGAATGGGGGCATTCAACTGGTTGTGCTGGCTGGGAACACAGATTCAAGACGACACCTTAAATATACAATGCAGTCAAATAACCCCGATTTAGTGCCACCATTTTTCCTGGCACATTTTGTGGCACGAAGCGAGTGTTGCACTAAATTCAGGGTATTGTATGACAGCAGAGGGGATCAGTTTAGGGTTTCCATTACATAGGAAAAATAAGCTTGTTTACATAATTTTATGTAATCAGTCAGGGTGTTTTATAGAAGAAAAGGCCAAAATAAATCATTTGAAGCTCAAAGGTACATTTTAAGAATTTTGTTTTGAAATATGTATCAACGCAGAATTTATTAGATTTACAGTATAAGGAAATGATGTCTAGTAAAATATCGCAGCTATTTCTCAAGATTTTGTGCACATTTGAGTTAGTTGCATATAAAGTGACAGCATGAAGGAATCACAAATGTTACAACAGAAGCCTCCATTTTTTTCTATGTTTTCAATGAAGGGAGGCATCAATGCAGAAATTATTTTTTTCCAGTCATGTAAATTCAAAAGTAGATTGCTCATAGCTATCCTGAATTTTATGGGAGAAATCATTGGGATGTGAGTCCCAGTTGAAAGTCTCATAATCATTTGTTTTCCTTTGAAAAACGCTTTGATTACATCAATTTATGCCCATTTTTAAAACATGGTGAAGATTTTTGTGTCACTAAGTGACTTGGCACTAATTCGGGGTTTCCCTTGAGAAGATAATAATGGAGGGGAATTTGTGGTATTATGCACGGTGTCACAAAATCGAGAGTTTACTGCATGTTCTTAGTTTTATTATAAATTATATTCGATTTTTCTCAATAGAGAAAATTCAGAACGCATGAGGAATCCCTATAAATAAAATATAACATCAAATTTTGTGCGCAAATCAGATGAAGAAAAAAGATGATTAACCTCCATGAGTTCTGAGAAGACTACACAGGAAAAAATGCCATGGACTCCTGGTATAATCACAATATATTATCCAAATAGCTTCTAAATTGATGCTGTATCTATAAATTTTCCGGGACCACTGGCATTTGAAAAGCCAAGATTTATTTGGCTAGACCGCCAACTTGCATTGTTATTTTAGAAAAATGTTCTCGCCAAGTCAGAAGAATGTCACGGAGTACTTGAAATTAGCTGAAATAGGACTTCCAGACAAGCTGTCATCCAAGAAGAAGAAGAATAAAGAATTCGTTGCAAATAAAAGCGAAAGATCCTCTCTCAAAGATCTTCATTCGCGCAGACGTGGAGGAATTGAAAACTTGCGGTGGTATATCTGCGTTTTCAATGTGTATTTTGTCTGCCATGTCGTTTTAGTGAATGTGTGGTACCGCCTGAGGATTGGTGGAGAAAAAGCTTATGTTCACTTCCGACTCGTGGAATGCGACTGACGTCATTTTCAATTATCCCAGAGCTGAATTAGACGAGGCACTTTGTACTTGCTTTTCCTGCCAACTATTTCAAGAGAGCTATATGTATTACAATGTTGGGCCATCGTTTTTAAAGTCAATTCGATTTTTGGGGATAACAGTGAGTATCAGCAATGAGGAACTTTGCATTGGTTCGATTAGGCAAAAAACTCCGTCTTTGAGGTTCAATCCAGCGCAGAAAAAATCATTTCAGCACGTTGCTTATGAGTGTTATTATGAAGGGTTGCAATGGTTGAAAGAAGGTTTGTCCTATTCATGCGAGGCTTTGAATTTATCGACAGGAAAAGCTTCCCCGTGGTCTATATGAGTTTTTTTCGTTCTGCTGGTTTTTAATTTTTTTTCTGTTCAGAAAGACATGATTATGCCTGCAAGAAAACCTCAGCATTAATTTGCAAAAATGCTTCCGTGATGGAAAAAAATCAATAATTTCCTTGCTGCCGTTGATTTCCCTCACAATATTCAATTCGTGTGGCGAACTGTGAATTGCTAACTACAGTACTGTGCTTGAATTCTGTGAACCCAGTCGGAAATATCTTGTTCTCGTCCTCATAAATTCAGCATCCTGCCAATTAATGAATTAATCCAGCAGTTTGATGCACATACCAATTTTACCCCCCTTTAATTATCTTTTTCCCCTCCCCAAAAAACGCTGGTTTCCTCAACTAGAAAGACTCCAAAATTGAATTTTCTGTGGATTCCTCATCTGAGTTCAACTTGAAGATGTTCAACTGTAGCTTTATTTTGGTACTTTATTGTATGTACAAGTGGGCTGCATATATCTTAAATGCAAATACCTGCTTTAGTCTTATTTCTTAGAATTTAAAAATTTGCAACATTGTGAATAAGACTCCATTAATGCAGATTTCGAATGCATAAACAGATGATGCAGTGATAAGGAACTCTTTGACGGACAGATTAAAATAAAATTTGATATGAGAAGGCAAGTCGTACCGCAAAGAAAAATGGTAACCTTGTACTGTATACTCCTTCAAATTTGCGAATTTTCTGTTTTCGCAGATTCGCAGGTTTCCCCCATGAGAAAACCACCAAATTGAATTTTGAGTGGATCCCTCTGAGTTCAACTTGATGAGCTTCGAACTGCAGCTTGATTTTGATACTTTATTGTAAGTGGGAGTTGACTGAGTACCTCTGAAACATGAGTACTGTGCCTGATTTCGTCTATTTCCTTCGAATTTGATTCTGCTACTATTCTGACCAGAGCCCCGTCAATGCAGATTTGAGATGCCAAAGAGAAATGAGTACCCGCCTGTACCCGTTCAAAGGCGCGAATTTGCGGTTTTTCGCAGACTTTATTTCAAGTTTTTTCTTCTTCTTCTTCTTTCGCATCCCCAGCAGATATGTTTCAAAGTGTTTCCGGTTCCCGGCGTTCACCTGCTCATTATGCTCGCGACTGCAAGAAGCGACAAAGAAACGCTGGTCGTCTTCTCCTCTCTCTCGGGTCCGTCGTGGAAAATCGCGGATCGTTGGACGAGTTCCAATACGCACGGTATAATTCCTTGTTTTGTTCAGCGAACGAAGACTGACGCGAATATCCTCGCCCTGTTCGCAAAAAATATTTTTAAAAAATAAATGAAAAAAAAATCGCAGGCCAGAAAGGCCACCCTCGAGATTCACCCTGTCGTGGTGACAAGTTGGTCGACGTTGTGCTTGTTCTGCTAAACTGATCCTTTCGACTGACACGGCTTCCCGCGCTCGAGGGGGACCAGGAAGAAACCCCTCGATTTGTCTTGGTTCTCTCCCCTCCGACGACGATGACTCGTCTCTTTGTTCCACCGACCGGACGGATGACTGATCGACGATCCTTCATTCTCCGTCACAATGTGAAGCTCAGTTTATATAAGAGCCTGCTCAAGAAATTTGTAAAAGCAGGGGTGTTACACTTTTGTGCTGGATAACCACATTTTGTTGCTTGAGCATACGAACTGTGCATTGTTTTTAATCCTGCAATAACAAAAAGGCAAGCAGGTGCCAATCCCAGGACCAAGGGTTGGGGAACACTGTTCTGCTTAATATTAAAGACTTTCTCATTTGCAGCATGGGATTTGACAAAACAAAAGCCCTGCTCAGGATAAAAGTGTGCCTTGAGGGTACAGCTACAGAAAAAAATATGATCCTATAACTGATTAAAAATGCAAACTTCCTATAAATTCTGCAAAAGGTTTATGTCAAGGTCTGGCTGGGCACTTCCAGGTAGTAATTTTTGAAATCGGAGGTGTCAATTGTGCTGGATAAGCACATCGCGGCGCAGGAACATATAATGAACTATGTGGTTTTTTTTTCAATGAGAATTACAATATTGTACAGACCTATCATTGCATGTACGAGTCATTAAATTATAGTACTCGACTGAGCCATTGAGCCCAGACACAATTTCTACACAATAGCCTCAATACGAGTCCATCGTCCGCAGTTGCTAGAATAAAAGCCCTGATTGAATTCTAAAAATATATTTTATGAATGTAATGCCATATATGTCAACTATGATATATGGTAAATATCTCCTAACAAAATTTCCCTTTCACCGAAGCATAGCCGATCCTCATTGAAAAAATCTAAAAAAGGACAGAAATATGCTTCGAAAATCAGAAGCATTTATAGAAAGCGAGCCATTTGTGATACGTGTATAGTTTCGTCAGCTGCTGTAGCTGTTATGCGTGAGGTTTTTTTAAATTGTAAAATCCCCCTTTTTGAGGGCGATAATGTGAGATATCACGAGGATTTTTCATGAATAAACAAACTCATGGATTCTCAAGCGAATTTTGACGAGCCCATTAATTAATTCCTTTTTTGTTTAAGTGTGTGCTAAAGTTCTGAAAAAAATATCATACTTCAACTCTGCACCAATTATTCAAATTTTAAAATTTGTTCTTTTAAAAAACATTGGTGCAGGTTCTTGAACTTATGTTCGCCTGGAATCGAAGCCTTGTTCTTCGGATTTTCACATTTTCTGTGATACATTCACGAGAAAAAAATTAGTTTAGGAATTCCAAAATTTTAATTTGTGATTGAATTTGCCAAGGAACTTTAATTCCCGGTACAATACATTTGTAGCTTCTTTTCTTCAAAATACAGGAACAGTGGAGTTACAAAGGGAAGCAATGCCTTTGAGGCTATTTTATGGTCTACTGCTATTTCGAAAGAAAAAAAAATGATGTGCCTGCTCAGATGGCACAGGACAAAATTTACAGCGCAATTTGGACGAAATAAAAAATTAAATTGATGGGTCCTCCGGAAAATTGCAATAGAATGTCTCGAAAATGCTTCTTGTTCTCTGATCTGGCTTCGTGTGTTTTTATCTGCTGCTGGGGAAATGGAAACATCAATACAGTGTTGGGAGAATGAATGTCCTTCGCATTAACCCTCTCTTAAAGACAAGACATTTTTCTCTGAGATGACCGGATTACTGCTCAAACTCTGTTTCTTTTTTTTTTCTTTCACATTTCGAGAGAACTTCTTCAAAATCCAAGTACTGTTTCGGCAGTGAAATGAAGCCTGGTAATTTTTCAACGTTATTTTGATCCGGAGCTCTCTTGATGGAAGAGAACTTCGGAGAGCTGTTGGATCGGTTCAGTCAGCTGCTTGATGCATCTTTTTTTTTTTTTTGACAGGAAATAACTCTTGAAAAAAGTGAAGTTTGGAAGGAAGACATTAGGAAAGGAAAGCTAGCAATCAATCTTTGTCCAATTTCTTTTCGGGATCTCACTTGAATGCGGTGCCGCGAACGGAGACGTCGCGAAGCGGTATTTTTAACTCGGATCGACCTGGAGGGTCGCGGTCTACTGCGGACGTATCACGAGGGGCGTTGAAAAAGTTTAAGAAAAAGCACTTGTCCACCAAGAATTTGACTCGGTACCTTTGTTCCTGTATACTGACTTTCTGAAGGAATACGAGCAAAAGGTGCCCAGCCACGCCAGATAGTATATCCTGAGCAAATTTTTCTTGTATACATTTTATAAATTTTTACGATCAGAAAATAAGATTATATGCGTAAGATGCATTGGTAACCTTGTCTGAGGGTTGTTTCATAAGTTTTGAGACTTTCCGAAATAGATCTGACTGAGTTTCCACAATTCCAAAAAATTTCCTCTCTCAAATAACCCTAGCATTTGGCAACAGTGCAGTGCTGTTCAACATACTCGTCTCCACTGGATTAAAAGTATTTTTTCATGCAATAAATCTAATAATCAAAACAATGCCAGAAATCAAGTTCTGTTAGCTAATTAGGCACCCTGTGACTTCCGGCTGTTCCCAACGGTGAATAACAACCTGAAAGGGATTGATTTCAGGTAGGAACAGCCGCATTTTCACCGTCAAAGATCAGCTTGATCAAGAAACAATAAAAACTTGATTTTTGGCAATTTTTATAGTTGGATTTATCCTATGACCAAATCCATTTAAATCGGTGGAGAGAATGTTGAACAGCACTGAAGTTTTGCTAAATGATGGGGCTATGCGAGTAGAAAAAAATGTTTTGGAATTGTTGAAACTCAGTCGGATTTATTTCAAAAAGTCTCAAAACTGAATAATCAACTCTTGTACTAGTGGTAGATGTGCATGAGCAGGGTTTAATTTTTTTCTATGGACCCAAAGTCACATTATATTCCAGGTGGTCCTTAGACACACAGGATCATCATTCTCAAACATCTACAAAGAATTGAAAAAATATTGGCGAAAATATCACATCACATATGGTCAAGCTATGTCAGTTTGTAATCTGATACTGGTGCTCAGTGGACTGCTATACAGTACAGTATTTTTCTCCACGTGAATGAAAACTATGGATAATAAATTAATAATACATGTACATTGCTCTTATAAGTCTCTTCCAGTTCATTTTGAGCTGCAGTGATTTTCTTCAAGGGTTTCTCTTTGCTGTCCTGAATTGTGATACCTGGACACCCTTTATGGAATGAGTGCTTCCATTTTTGCATTTTTTCCGAATGACACGTGAAAGCCAAATTAAAAAAAGAAATGCCAAGATCAGATTTGCATGATACAACTTCCGTGGAAAAGGAGTTTTAAATAGCAACTGTTGTAAATATTTTTGACTCGTTCATTTTGGGACCTAAAATAAATCAAGTGAATCTAGAGGTTCATATCCGAAGCCTCCAACCGGTAAAAAGCTGATTACCGTCTTTGACTTATTTAATACCAAAGATAAGCTAATTATGTTGCAGCCACTCGAGCGTTTCAACAGTATCAGATTCAAGTGCAGTTCCACTAATGACGTACTTTTCAGACAACATCCAAAAAAAAAGCGAATGCTTCTGAATTTCTCCATGACTTTACCAAAAACAATTCATCCGTAATTGGGGTCTCCTGCAAATGTTGCACGCAACATATGCTCTGAAGAAACAGCAATGCGACACCCGAGTGTCAAACCCTCGACACCTGTTCAAGAATGCATATCGCAGAGCACACATTCTTTTGTTCTACACTTGCTGTCCGTGGAAAGATGAGTGACTGTGACAGCGACAGTCGTGGGGTGGAGACCCGAAGCTCTCGTCAAACTCAGCATTCTGTGCTGTTTTGAATACCTTCGAGGTGGAAGTCCGCGACAGAATTTCCGCTTCTGCCAAAAACATTGCGAAAGAAGAAAAAATCCCCTGTGCACAGTGTTTCTCGGTTTTTGCTCAGCTTTCACTTTTTCCGGTAAACCACGTCTTTTTTTCTTTTAAATGCACAGTCAAACCTCGATACGCAGCCCCCATTTGTTTGTGAGGTTTATTATGACAGTTGGGAAAACCTGAAAACTTTTGAGAATGGGGGTCAAGGTTTGGAGGGACCTTGGTGGCTTATCAAAAAAGGTAAAATACAGTGAGACCCCAAGATGCAGACATAATTGGTGCATCAAGAGTGTCCCTAAGTCAAGTCTCATTTACCCTTAGATTTACATTATACCATTTTTAATTGGCGTTTTATCTACAAAATACTCAACATAATTCCATGAAAATAAAAATTGTCTCCCAATAAAACTGATTCAATCAATATATTTCAACACAATATGGACATTTGGGGAATTGAATACTGATACCTCTGTACAGTACATAGAAATATTGGCATTCTCGGTAAAAAAAAATAATGTTCAAGTTAAAAAGAGAGAAGGAAGTTCCTCTACGATGGTGGTAATTTTTTAGATTAGCTAAATGGATGGTAAATTGGTGGGAGAAANAATTATCTATGCTTCCATGATTTCCGTTTCTAGGCTTTCTAAATGGTTTCTTCTGAAACTTCCAAAAAGGGTACTCTGTAAGTTAATGTATTTCTAAGATAACAAAGTTAACACGAGTTTGGTCCGTTTTAGCATGCTAAAAAACGTGACAAAAATATCGTTTCCTAAACTGTAGGTGAATTGCAGTACATTAATTTTTAGAAGAGTGATAATCCTGCTGAAATTGTGCTTTCCAAAGAAAGGTCATTCATAGTAATTTTTTCTCTTTTTTAAACTTGCAAAAGAATGGGATAACCGAAAAATAAGTCTTCCCTATTGTCAAAGGTTCATTCAGGTTGTTCATATCTTTGGTTGCAAAATGGCTTGTCTATTACAGTATTTACCTAATCATTCCGCACTGCATATTTTCTGCTGAATTTTGCTCGAAATGTGTGCCCAACAAGTACTGTATGAAAAATTAAGCTTGAAATTCATATTCATGCCTCTTCGAGACCATTTGAGTGACAGGCGTTTAATTATTATTGTACAGTATCAGTTTTTCAGGTAAGAATACTTTTATGAAAGCTCATGTCATGCTAGGTAATAACTTTCAAAACAAACTACAGGTGGACTCTCTCTCTCTCTCTCTCTCTCTCTCTCTCTTTCTACAAAAAAGTCAAGGGTCCAGGAAAAATTTGTTGTAGAGAGAACCCTTTTAACATGGGAAATAACCATTATATGAGACCAAACATATATACAGTAGGCAAAGAAAATCGTGGTAGACAAAATCGTCACCTTTCCGCTGCCGTGATGATTTTCTGAATACTTTAATTTCTGAGTTATTCGTGGGTTGAATTATTTCACAGGAAGGCGTTCCAAAAATAATCATTTAACACGCTAGGAATTTTAAGAGGCCATAAGTACGTTATGGAGCACCCACACGTATATATAAATCTTTGTGAAGACGTCGACTGAATTTGAACTAAATACCTGTGCTTTCAGGTAATCAACGGCTCTCAGCACACGTACTTTTTTTTTTCGTGGACACCCCAACTAGTACCACCAGTTGACAACAAATATACTAGAACAGTGATCGCAACCGGTGGTACGTCCGCCGGATCGCAGAATAAGTTGTTCGCCGGTCCGCGGGAAAATTTCTTTAGCAAAATAAAATTTATAGAAGGTAGTTATGAAGCCTGTTATCCTTAATTATCCGGAATTTTTGAAAAAATGGCATTTGAAATCATCTGAGAAAAAATGAAAGTTAGCTTTTCTTCTCATTACTTTTTACACTTAAGAAATGCCTTCAACTGTCTGAAATAGATTTAATAGTCAAAATTTAGACTCTTCGGAAAGACCTTCGAGTCGAAAGCTAAAAAAAAAGTTCTGTAGAGTTATATATCGACGAATAACCAAGAAATGAATAAAAAACGTTACGTTTAAAACAAAACTTTACTTATTACAGCAGGCATTAAAAATTTCCCTGGTCATCAAAAATTGCATGGAACTTCGGCAGTCCGTAGAAAATGTTATAAAAGTTTGCCGGTCCGCAAAAAGTTTTATTAAAAGTTGCCAGTCCGCGAGCAAAAAAGGTTGCGGAACAGGCTACTATAAAAGACGGTACTTTCGGTACCGACAAATTTTTCGAACCAATGGGCCGGAAGCTTCAGCATGATTATAGGACCATTTTTGCGTACCAGCAAAACGCAGCAGTGATTCACGCATTTTTGATTGAAAAATATGTGTTTGATGGAGTATAAAAGGTTATGCTTTTTTTCTTCACAGGTCTACATACCGTGTTGTTTGATCGTCTGCTGTTCCTGGGTGTCGTTCTGGATCCACAAAAAGGACACCCCGGCCCGGGTCGTCATCGGGGTGACGACAGTGCTGACGATCACAACCATGGGCTTTGGTGGCAGAGCCCAAATGCCCAAGACTAGTTACGCCACAGCACTCGACTACTTCGTCGTCATGTGTTTCTCTTTCGTTTTCGCGTCATTAATCGAATACGCCTCCATAAACTACCTGGACTTCCAGGCTAAACGACTCGCCGACGCGAGGAAAAAGGCCGAAGAAGCCGGACTCATCAAAG